AAATAATCTGTCATAGGGAACCCGAAAGGGGCGCTGTGGGGTGCTAACACCTTCCCCACGCGTAACCGACTCCCTTACCCGACTCTGGTTGTCATGGCCGAAGTCGATTTTTGAATCGATTGCCTTAAACTTCTTTTTCCAATGTTTTGAGTAAAACATTGGTGGCGACTCCATGAACCCTTCCTTTTTATGAAAACCGCTAATCCATGGAGGGTCCCGCTTGGGATTAACATGGATTGGTGAGCCTTTTAATAAAATTGCTCGTTTGACAAGGTCTCAGTTTGAGAATAAGTCATTCTAGCAATCCATATTTTTAAACAAATAAAAGAGTCCAACCATCCTTCGCGAATGCCGAAAGCCCGTTTCGGGCCGGTGGCGACAATGGTGTTTTGGGGTTCAAGGATAGAATCTATGTACCTAGTAATCCCAAATTAAGGAAGATGATCTTAGAAAAAGGAAAAAAGAGTACTCTTAGCATTCATTTAGGAGTTACTAAGATGTATCATAGTGGCGTAGTAGAAGCGTGGTGGCCTAAGGTGAAGAGAGGAGTAGAGGAAATTTTGTGCTCGTGTGTAGTATCCCAGAAATCTAAGGTAGAACACTAGAAGTCTTTAGGACTTTTACAGCCTTTAGACATCCCATTTTGGAAGTGAGATGGTGTGTAGATAGACCTTGGTTGTAGTTTTTCCTGATTTGCTTAAGAAATTCAATTCTTTTTGGGTTATAGTGGATAGACTCACCAAGTTTACATGTCTTACCCTTTTTTATAATAGATATTCCTTGGAGAAATTGATAGAGTTGTACATCAATAAGGTAGTAAGGTTACATGGGAATTAAAAAGCAAGATGCGAGGAGCCTACCCATTTCTATTTTCAGGAAAATTTTAGGGACAAAATTTGAAAAAGGAGGGGAGAATTGTAACACCCCGATTTTCACAGATTATATGAAGGCCCAAAGCCCAATAAGGGTGATTTAGTATCCCAGAACGGGCCGTTCCCAAACTAGAACGGGTCGTTCCCAAACTGGAACGGGCCATTCCAAACTACTATAAAGGCTTATAAACTCTAGTTGGGAACGGGCCTTTCCCAACTGGAACGGGGCGTTCCAAATCACAAAAAAGGCTTGTAACCTTAGTTGGGAATGGGTCGTTCCAAACATAGGAATGGGCCGTTCCAAACATGGTTGTTATGGGTTAAAATATAACTGTAGAACGGGTCGTTCTGGTTTGA